GTACAATGCTCATAATTTGAAGGAATTGTTGCGCAATAGTTCAAAGCAGTTGCAGTTAGGAGTAATTTTCGAGGGCTCGATATATTTTCTTCAAGGCACGTTGATGCACTTTGCTTAAGATAATGTTTTGCTTCGTATGACACGTCTTTACTTCACGACTTTGGTGGTTGTTCTACATTGTGCTTCGTTACTCCGCAACATGCATCTTGGACTCTACGTGGGGCTTCATTGCAATGAGAAGAGAGTGACTAGTGGTGGTCAATGACAGTCAACAAGCGATGAACTGTGACTGTAGGAGCAAGAAGCGTTGTTGGATCTTCAGTCAGCTCTAAGTCCGACTTTTTTTTTCGATTCAAGGCCTAGTTCCCTTTTCATAAAAGAGGTAAAGCTCTATTCATAGAGTATAGGGGAGGCATTTCTACAAGTAAGAAATGAATCCAGACAACTTCATTGAACGACCCAAATAGATTCCCTAGATCAAACAATGTTTTGTGGATATTTAAGAGCCTTAAATATGTAGGAATTGAGTGATCTTATGCTCATTGGATTTGTCTCGTCGAGACGTTTTATTTTGCTATAAGTTTATCAGATTTAGAATCTATTTAACCTTCAAATTAGATACTAAAAGCTTTCAAAAGTGGCTTAACGGCCTCATCGTGTTTGATTTGACACAGAGTTTACCAATTTCAGTGTCATTAGGTCCATCTCATCTAGCCCGTCAATTTGACTGTAAAATAAGAATTTTGATAGTTTTAAATTGGAGTTTGAACACTTCTTACATAGTCAAATGATAAATTTTGTCGATGTTGTATCAATTTCCTAAAGTTCACAATCAATATTTGTGATCTTAAAAAATAATATAAAAATTTGGGTCTATTGCTCAACTACCTACTAAAATTTAAATGTCATATTATTTAGTTTTAAAATAAAAAAAAAAATATTTGTCTCTCTCAATAAATTCCTTAGCTCGTTTCCTAAGGAAAAAAATAAATAAAATTACTTTAATTATTATATTAATTTATTTTCATGACAAATCTATCCATAAAAGCACATATTCTACCAAAAACTAGCTCGTTTATTTCTCTTTTTTAAATTGGCCAGTAATAAATTATAAGGTATATAAGTCAAATTTATGATTTAAAACCTATATTTTCTCATTTAATCAATTAGTCATAAACATTTTTATTTTTTTTCCAGACTTCTGAAATTAAATACGATATTTAATCGCCTCGTTCATGTTAATATATCGCTATCGGCAGTGCATTGCTGGCAACAATCAGCGAAAATGCATGCATTCGTTCGCCGTGAATGATGGATGAGCCATTATTACTATATATATATATATAT